ATGTTATGTAAATTGAAGTCAATGAAGTCACAGTGAAAGTATTATAAACAATTATGGTACAAATTTGGATCGATGAGAATAAATATAATTAAATACGAAAAATTATATCAAATTTTAGTGCTTTAACTGTGTGAAATTTGCTGTGAATTTATATGCATATCTAATTCTGCAATCGCGCATCGAAATCTTTTGCATTATTAATAGTCTTGTAAAGATGTTTATTAGCATAAAAAATTCTTAAATTACTTGTCAATTTAATAAGTGATATTACTACTTTGATTCTGTTCATGATTGCGTTTCAAGATTGAAAAAGATTTAAACATGGAAATATTTAAGTGCTAAGTGCGTTCCATTTTAAGCGAATATAAGATTTTTGTTCTTTAATTTAAAAAAATATTATAATCTCAATTTTTATTGTTTATATTTTTTATATGCTTTTATAAAATAGTTATAAGTAAAATTAATTTATATTAATTATATTTATATGAAATTGATAAAAAAAGTCTAACTAAAAAAAATACTAATTAGTACGGTTTACAGGTGACGGATACGAGAATTACTCCGAGAACGGTATCCAGAATCCTAGCGCAGGAAGGAAACGGATCTCAAGGAGGTAGTGATAGTCCCCCGCCTCCTCCACCACCGAGACCTTACCACGCGCCACCACCGATGCTGCCGGTGTCCCTGCCAACCAGCGTAGCGATACCAAATCCAAGCCTCCACGAGAGTCAAGTGTTCTCGCCCTATTCGCCGTTTTTCAATCCTCACGCGAGTCATCCTGGTCAAGTACCACCTCCGGGGCCACATCATTTACCCGCGAGTCCTCCGGGTGGAGGTGTAGAACTCAGGGATTCCCCTCCACTGCCCCATCCGCCGGCTATGTTGCATCCAGCCTTGTTGGCAGCAGCCCAGCACGGCAGTCCGGACTACGGACATCTTAGGATGGACAGCAATGACCGAGCTAGCGACTGTAATTCCGGCGACATCAGCTACGATGGAATTCAGCCTACAATATCCTTTACTAATACTTGTATGCTAAAGAGCAAATTTGATAATAATACTCTGCATTTTACAGAATTTTATTAAATTCTATAAAATTTTATAAACATTTCTTCAGATAATATTTATAAGAATTTTGATATGTATTTATTATGATCAAAGCAAGACATTAATCTCATTCACATATAGAAAATATTACTATTTAAAATGAAAATATTATTTGTTAAAATGAAAAATGTTATCTGAAGATTAATTCGTGTGTTAAAAAAAATTTAGACATACTAGAGAAAACAGTTAAGATACTCAGAGATATTTTTTGACATAGGAGAAACGAAACTCACGCGCGAAAAGTTTAGAATGTAGCAGTGAGTTTTTTGAGAGAGAGAAAAAGCCGGCAAAATGGCTCACTCGCTTGTAAGGTGGCTGGAGCGAGGAAGCTCGGACGAATGTTAGATTAGTTTAGTACGGAGTTAGGCTAATGTTGGCTGCACCTACGAGTAGAGTTTGTCCAGCAACAACGCATCGAACCAAAAGTTCTTTACCTACCTCGGCCCACCCTCGGCCTGCAGTCTCACCCAACTTCGCAAGCCAATAATCTGTCCCGCAATTTCGCAATTCAGCCTGAGCATTTCGCGAACTTTACATTTCGGGCGTCTCCTCGGTTTATCCTAGCTAAGCTACTTTTGCTGATCTCAGTGATATGAGCCTTGCAAAGCTAAATTTCTAAACATCAACTTTTGTCTGCAATTTTTCATCTTATCTTCCAATGTGCGGGAGAAAAATGTTTCATTCATTATATTTATATCGTCACATTTTTAGTACGAAAACACTGGTAGAGTATCATACATAATAGAACGAAAATATTATCAGAACTAAATTAAATCGAGTTTATTAAAAATAAATTTGCGATGTTTGACCAATCATATTTTTTGTTATTTTGCAGTAATTTATAGTAATTCTTAAATATTCATAAATAATGATAAATGTTTAATATATGTTTAATATACATGACATAATTAATAATAAAAATTATAGATTAATATTTCAAAGAAGAGAATTCGACATTTGCTGAATGATTTGAATTGTACATTATAAATGTACAATTGTAACAATTTAAAGGATCTTATATTTGTAAAATATATCCGCGTGTCCAAATTTTATTTAAAAATGTTCTTGACCTTTTTCAGATTGATTAAAATAGCCGCGATTGCATCCGGTTAAAGTGCACTCTTAGGATCGTCAGAAAATGATCAGCGAACGGTTCACCAGCTTCAATTATCGTGCATGATCCACCCCGCCGCGGTTTGCTTCTGAGTTACCGAAAGAGCGTACAGAAATCCGGTGGCTTGCGAATCGAGAGTTCGCCTCGGTGCAACGAGGAAAAAAAGGCGAGTGTCGCGCGGGTTCGTGTGAGCGCCGATCGTCCGATGCAATGTCGGAACTGCATCGGCGTGTTGGACCGGGTCGTTCGATCGGGTAGCGTGCCGTTCTTTGCCGCCTTTTTAGTCGGCCTTTGATGTAAAATCAATGGCGCATTTTTTTCACTCCCTCCTCTCTCTTGGGGTAGGTCGAGCGCGTTGTGCATCGCCGTGACACGATCTGCTGTTCCGCGCTCCTCCGGACGCACCATCCTAGTCTCATCGCGGTTCTCGCTGGCATTTGATGCATCCGAATTCATTTTGTTGCCTACGCCCTCTTTCTCTTTACTTTTTCCTTTTTCGAAAAAATCTATTCCAAATTTTTTAGCTCGAGATTAATGCGAGATTATGTGCTGATATTTCACATTTATAATATCGAGTATAAGCTTACACGTTTTGAATAAATTAAATTGTAAGTACAGAATGACATAGCAGAATCGTGCGAATTAATCGAATAAGATTGCGATGAGAAACCACATGTAGAGATCCTATTACCAATAAGAAGTCAGTAAGGCTTCTGCTGAGGATACGGCCAATCGTAGATCAATTTCCCAATAAGAACCCTTCTATCATCTACCCTTGCGATAATCGCAATTTGTACGATTTCTGATCCAATTCGATACGAAAGAAAACATGATTATATTTGAGATATTCAGACGGTTGAGAAACGAGTCGGTTTTCTCTTCCGCACTTTTCTCTTTTAATCTTTTTTTTTATCGCGAGAATAGACTTTAACTCTCCTTCTTCACGTTTCTCATATATTTCTATGTGTTTATATATATATATATATATATATATATATATATATATTCATATACATTGCAAAATGGTATTTTCTTAACCACGGTGAACTCGTCGACGCTGACGCCGATGCATCTGAGGAAGGCGAAGCTGATGTTCTTCTGGGTCAGGTACCCATCCTCGGCCGTCCTTAAGATGTACTTCCCTGACATCAAGTTTAATAAAAACAATACAGCGCAGCTGGTCAAGTGGTTCTCCAACTTCCGGTGAGTAATGTGTTATATTTATTTCTTCAGTAATATTTTGTAGTTCTCTTTTTTAAATAACTTATGCGAAAAACCAAAAATCTTAAAAATATCTTATCACGAAATACGTTCGTATTCAAGAGAGGTATTTTTATAGACATTTTAATGTTTGAATAAATTAAAGCGCATTGAATATATTAAAGCGCATTGATAGGAAGCAATTCTTTTAAATCTAAATTATTTATCTATCTAAATTTAAATCTTTATGTATGCAATTGAGATTCGCAAACATTCGGTTTTAAATCAAGAATTGCTTTCGGTGCTGTTGAACGGATAACTAAATTCACAAGAACGAACGGACGATCATGTAGAAAATCTCAAGGATTTGGCGGACAGTCGTGTCGCCACACCCCTACATAATCTCGGACATTTTCGATCTCGTGCGGTACCTGGAAAGAATGAAATCGTGGAAGACGTTTCTGATAATAGAGGCGCGTTTCGTGTATGCAAACGAGAACGAGGTTTTCGAGGGATCGACCACTCCCTTTGCAGAAGCGGTCAGAGCCCAAGAGACGAGAGTCACGATGGGTGTGTCCGAATCTTAATTACCCTCTCTTGTAGAGCAGCTGGGGATAAGTAACGCTACCTACATAGCATCAGGTATAGAAGCGTAGGAGGCCGGTAGGTACCGACGCATACTGTCCGGCAGGCATTAGCCTGATTATAATTAGGCTGAGTACAGTACAGATCCAAGATACAAGGTGGTCGAAGGCGGATCGCGCGTGCCCTCGTCGTTACATTATTACCGCTTTCTTATCGCGAGATGTCCACTCTCGTGAAAATCGTAAGTCCTTCGCGCGATGGCGCTCGTATGTCGCTCTTATAATTACGGCACGGAAACCACGTGTCTAGGATATACTCTAAATGAAAAATGCATACCCGATGATAAATAAAACGTTAACGAGCAAGTGCTTAGTTGTTCTGAGTAGTTGAGTTAATTACAATATCTTATATATTGTATATGTCAGCCGACTTGTCACTGAAGCGTTTCGAGAGCATCTTTTATGTCGTTTGGTTTCATATAAATTCGGAACACGAATTATATGGTTGTACTAAGATAATCGAGCCGAACGGGATATCCTACACATAAAATTGCGAAAACAAAAAATAAAAGGATTTTGTTCATTTTGATAACGATGCGAACATCGTTGTTAATTATCAGTCTATTGTTCTGTGTAACTTTATTCATTGGGCCTATCCAAAAAGAGTGGAATCGCTGATAAAAGAGCAAGCACGTGGTCTGTTTGTGAAACTTCCAAATGTCCGGCGAAATTGCATGCTCGTATTTCGCGGTACGCACAAAGCTAATTACCGCTTCAACATATTTCTGTACATTTGACCCGAGGGTTTTTTTTTGCCTCTTCGCCATTCCATTCACCTACCCTCTCCAAAATCTTTCTTAATGAGATTTGTTATGTCTTGCACTTTGAAACTCCCATAAAAAATTTTCAAACAGAATAGTTTACTTCTTTATTAATTCAAAAATCAAAAATTCAAAAAATCACGTTTCGAATAGTATGTCGAATAGTGCTATGTGACTCTTGCTTACGATATATTACAACTGTGAACATGCTTTTTAAATATATAGAATATGTTAGTCATGATATAATCAATAATTTCCATTTACTTTCCTTGTATAAGATACATCTGCCAATATATATATTAATTTTTAAAAGTGTATATTAATAATTTACAGTAATGTTCTATTTCTATTCTTTTATGTATTAAGAAGGCAGATTTTAATTTATCATTTTCCTAATGAAAATTTTAAAACAATTCAGGAGAGTTCTTTGTAAGTTCCTATTATTTGTTCCTAATTAAAATTACATAAAAAAACGTGCCTGAAGATTTTCTTAAGAAAAATTAATTAAAAGAAATTTTGAAGATGTTTCATTTTATTCTATTTTACCAGTCTCTGCATGGAATTCTTTCTTTCACAGCTAATCACGTAAAGGTTTGTCCCGTAACTTTTTCCTTCTTTTTCTCTACCAGTCGTTGTCGCGCGTGCTCGATCTGATAGCCTAATGCACGGCTTCCTATACGGAAATGCCTCACTACATTATTCTACGCTCCTACGTGCACGGTCGATCCTCTACCCCTTTTCCCACCCTAGATCATCGTTGTACTTTTGTCACGAGAACGGGCCGAGACCATCGTCGCTGCCACCTGCTATGTCGATTATTATATCGCCGTCTCGTTCCCTCTATAAAATATACAACCGTCGATTAGATTACCTAAGCGCATTCTTAGTGATTGATCAATCTCCAACTATTGATTCATTGATATTAAGGGGGCGATAAATACAACACAATATAGGAAAAAAGAGCGCAAAAATTCTATTTTTTCCCCCGATAATGTAACACGAATGTTATTTCCCCCTTTTGCAATATTTATGGATATTCCTCATATACGGTTGTTGGCAAAGTTATTATAAAAGGAAGATGAAATTAGTTATTATCGCTGTCCTAGTATTCAACTAAAAATACAAGAGGCATACTTATCAGAAAATACTGAGAATACCTGACATAATATAGTAAACGTGATTTTTATAAATAGGGTCATATATTAATGACAAAGCATATAACTACAATTTCTGTAATCATAACATTTTCTTCAACGACATCATTTATCATTGTACATCCCTCGGCACAGTAGATGTCGGAGAAAATCGGACAAGAGACAGATAAAAAGAAAGAGAGAGTATGTGTATGAGAGAGAGAGAGAGAGAGAGAGAGAGAGAGAGAGAGAAAGAGGGAGGGAGAGGGAGGCAAAGAAGAATAGAGCGAGAAGTAGAGTGATAGAAAAAGAGCGGCAACGAGAGACGGTGGCCGAGCACAAAGCGATCGTTCGCACCCTATTTTCTCACGCTCACGCTCGCGTCGAATCGAAAGCACGTCCGATATCTTACGGAGACTCGTTGACGTCGCGCGTACATCATCGGACCTGCTTATACCGACGATATTGACAGCCTTCGTTCGATGAAGCACGCCGTGGGGGATGATTGGGGTCGTCTACGATCCAGGGTACAATGTGTGCGCGTGTTCACTCGTCTCTGTGATGTGTGTGTGTGTGTGTGTGTGTGTGTGTGTGTGTGTGTATGTGTGTGTGCGTGCGCGCGTGTACTCGTCTCTATCACCTCGCATCTCTCCCTGTCCGTCTATCCGTCCGTCTGTCTGTCGGTCGGTTCACTCCTATTCTCCACCCCCGCGAACGCGAAAAAAAGAAAGAGAGAGAAAGAGAGAAAACATGAGAAAGAGAGATGTGCGGGCGGACTCGGGTTCGTTCGTTATCAGATCCCACGGTAGGACACGCGACTGAGGTAGCAGATCCTATCTGCGGGAAGGAAGAAATTTTATGTCGTATAATGGACAACGGACGCACACACGACACAGTTCTAACCGGATGGTGAATCTACTTCGCATGAAAAACCGGGATCACTTCGGAATGAATTCGAAAAACGAGCAACGATTTTCCGCTTTTAGATATTATGCCGTTCCTTTTCAACATGCATCGTTCATTTTTACAAGTTTTACACTTCATACTTAATTGAGAATTCTTCTTCTTCACTTTCATAACATTAACGTCAAATTTACTTTTGGGGGAATAATTGCATCAAATTTACTTTTCATATTTCTGATAAATGATTGTAAATATTTTACTCATCCGTCGAACATTTATTCGATTATATGTTAAAATACTTCTTTCGTATTGTTTATGGACCGTGGATTGAGAAGAAATTTATAAATGGAATTTAATCTGGTTAACTATATAAATAGCATCTCTTCGGGGAAACTGTAAAGCGGAGACTGCGAAGAGTAGCAATATCTTCGATAAAGAGGCTTCCAAGTGGCGGTTGACGAGAAAACGCGAGCTAATAGCTCGGCCATGGGCAGAATAACATAATGTTGCAGGAAGAAGACAGTGCGAGAGGGAGAAAGTGTAAGTACGATATAAATGAAGAATCGAAAGCTCTTGAGTTGTCGAATAATAAAGTCCACGATAAATTTACCCAGTCACTTTCAAGAGGGTTGCTTATCGCCGCGAAATACTCGATAATTTTCCTGGAGGGAGTATGGGGGTCGACTCCACGTGTTCTCTCTTTCTCTAATTTCTTCTTCGACTCATTCTTATCAACCGACAATCGTTTCGTAGGCGGACATTACCGTGTCGCTGCTCGTTCGTAGAGCGTACGTCGCCGTGGCGTGGTCGGGGTAATGACGCGGTAATTTTCTAAACACAAATTTCCTTTTTCAACCCTTATCTTACCCGTCGGACACGTGACCGGTCGTTAGCGTTCGTTTTCCTCCTTCGTGCGGTCTGTCCGCGCGTTCTTAGTAACAACCGGCTACCTCGACATGCACGTCTCCCACGCTTTTAAGTAAAACGCACCTTGCTTATATCAAGTATGATCTTCTCACCTAGTGACATATTATTATTGAGCTCCCGCACTAAAAATTTCTAGTAGGTACTTATTTATACGCAGCATGTGCGATCAACAATTAGAATAATTATAAGTGGAGGAGAATAAAGAGGAGTTCACAAAATGAGGAGATAATATTAAATTTCAAGTCAAGAATATAGATATATTTTACATATATTGGCCATTAAAATAATCCTCATACCAGTCAAATTTATTTTTAATGTACAGTAAATTGATATACATAAAGGTTTAAGTTTTTCTAAATATTTTATCGCATTTTGCTATCTTGTATATTTAAACACACGTGCAGTCGAAGAAAGCATGTTTGTTTAAAGAGGATGGACAGTTTAATTTTGTTACAAATAGGAAAGCCAATTCGACATTCTGTAAATAAGAGAATCACTAATGTTCTCTTCTTCTAAACAGTAGCATAACGTTTTAATTTCATAACATCGTGCGCATCTAAAAAGTGGTATTGCGAGTGACGTATTCAAAGACGCATCCAGTCGATTAACGTGCTGTTTAGCAAGAAAACTTGCGG